TTCTCGACTTCCTCATTCTCTTGTCACTATCATGCCGCGTTTGCTGGTTCAAGGGTCCTTTGGCCTTAGTCTTGTTGAGTTCCAACGGCCTTCCCGGCCTCATGCTATGTTCTATGTGCCCCTGTTCTTGCACTTATTCTCTTGTTGTCGCTGGTTTTCCCCTCCTATGGTCCTCACCCCAGGGCATCACTCCCTCCTCTGGCCTAATCCTTTGTCTTTTCTTTCTCCTGCCTCCTCACTCCAGATTTCTCTGTTGTGCACAATTCGTCTATATTCAGTCTCTTGAGTGATGGGAAGTTATTCGGGACTCGCCAGTCCCGACAACGGCTCTGATGGCGAAGTCGGAGGCGTCAGTGGTGACATAAAAATGGCGAGTGGGGTCGGCGATCTTGAGTACAGTGGTCGTGGTGATGGTTTGCTTGAGTAAGTCGAAAGTGTGTTGGCGGCAATTGTTCCAATGGAATGGCTCGTCCTTGTGGGTGAGTTGGTGGAGAGGGTAAGAGATCTCGAAAAAGTTGTGAATGAACGGGCGGTAATAGTTGGCAAGGCCGAGGAAGGAACGGAGTTGGAGGAGGGTCTTGGGTGGGGGGTACTCGACGAGGGCTTCGAGGGGTCCATACGGATGCCTTCGGCGGAGACAATATGGCCGAGGTATTCGACGCTTGAAGCGGCAAACGTACATTTGTGGAGCTTGGCGTAGAATTTTTGCTCTCGGAGGATCGAGAGGACTTGGCGGAGGTGCTGAAGGTGGGACTCGGAGGTGGGGCTGAAGACAAGGATGTCATCAAGGTAGACGACGACACAGACTTCGAGGAGGTTGCGGAAGATGTGGTTCATGGTAGATTGGAAGGTAGCGGGGGCATTGGTGAGTCCGAATGGCATCACGAGGAACTCGTAGTGCCCGAACCGAAAGCGGAAGGCGGTCTTGTGGGTGTCCTCCTCGCGGATACGGATCTGGTGGAAGCCACTGCGAAGGTCGATCTTGGTAAAAGCACTTGGCTCCACGGAAACGATCAAGGAGCTCGGAAATCCGAGGTAGGGGGTACTTGTTCTTGATCGTGATCCGGTTCAAGGCGCGGTAGTCTGTGCACATGCGGAGTTCCTGTAGCGGACCTCTGGTTGGCCTGTGAGACCAGCCCCTTGGCCTGTTCTCAGAGGCCTGTGTTGTATTCGGGGCAGTCCAGTCCAGGGCGGTACCTCTGTCGGTACCAGCCAGTCCAGTCCAGTCCCGTCAGTCCGCTGGGGTATACCCCTGTTGTTGTCTGTTTTCCGCCTCATTCTACATCCGCACACTTTGGAGTACGTGCGTTGGAGTCTAGCGTGGGAGCTGCACTGTGCCATCTCGCTCCCCCTTCTTCCTCCATCTCCATCTCTATCCCTGGCGGAGCACCACCCCTGGTGGGTCCGCCACACTAGTATCGGAGCAAGAACTTTACCCGCTCCCACTCACCACCCCGCACAGCAGGGAAAACAGCAAACCCGATACCAGGGGTTTTGGCTGTTTTTCGAGCGGATTTTGACGAAAACGAGGGAAAACAAACGGTGCAGCAGGAGAGCGACACGTGGCGAAAAAAACACGTGCCATCACGAGCGCGTGCGGGGAAGCGCCAAGGCCAAGGCCGCCGCACGTGTGCGCGCGCCACGCTGCCCCGCCCCGCCTCGCTCCTGGATTACATTATCAAGATCCGGGATTTTGCTGCTGCCGGGGTTTGAACCCGGGCAGCTGTTGGGCTTGTGCGTGTGTAGCTGCCCTTGTAACACACTCACCATACTGTCTGTATGGCTTTGTAGCGTGGCGCGCTGCTGTTGAAGAGGTGCGTGCCAGCTATTTACCCCCCCCCCCGCCGGCGAGCAGCGGTCAGCAGGGCAGCAGCGGCGGGGCTGCTATTTGCCCCCCCCCTCCCCCTGTGGCTGCTGCTGCCTGCGCACGTGGCCATTTGCAGTGCCACGTGGCAGCCTGCTCTAAAGACTGAAGACCCCCCTGGCTAGGGGGCTGCACCACATTATTTTTTTTTACTATTTTTCTACTGCTGCAGCAGCAGTTTTGCAGCAGCTCAAGATTCCCCCCTAGCTAGGGGGCTGTGTGACTGTGGCAGTAGGGTGGCTGATCAAGATCTCAGCCAACCCTAGATCATCATCATCATCATCTTTTATTGCTGTGGCATCAGGCCAGCAGCACCTTGAAGGCCAAGATCCTGTGGATCTTGGTAGTGCTTTGCTCTTGGCCAACCAAAAGCCTGGTATTATCTCTCTCAACTAACCTACTCTCCCCCAACCCCTTTTCTCTTCCCCCCCATCATCTAATCATCCCTTCTCACTCTACCACTACCCCCCTCCTCCCACCTCCCTCTTCACTCATCTCCCACCACCTTTTTCCTCCCTCTCCTCCCCACTCACCATCTTCTACTAATCTCATCTCCCCCATCTCCCACTTCACTCTCTCTCTCTCTCCCCTATTTCTCTCTTCTCCATCACTTTTTCATCCTCTTGCCCCCCCCCCTACTTCACAATTTTTTCTGTTTTTCTTCTTTTCTCTTTCTCTTTGATTTAAATCTTCCTTTTTCTCCCAAAGTGCAATCAGACTCGTTCTTATTCACACTTTTCATGCATGTAAACAGCAGCGCAGCAAACTGGCGACATGTACCCACTCAAAACTCAAAGATATGGCATCCAGATACGAGTTCACTTCCAACTGGCTATGGCGACAAAGCGCCCAAACAACTCACTGGTCACATGCACCGGATCACCCTGGATATCCCACACGCGTCACTCTGAATACTCAAACACACACACACACACACTTTCGGCTAACTACCGCTATGGCAGCTATGGCTGCCTCTACCCTATTGCTATACTAAGCTCCTTCTTTCTCACCCATTGCGTCCTCCGGGCTCACTGCAGACCTCCTTGCACAAGTCGCTGTGGCAACGCTTCCGCATGGCTCACGCAGGAATGAATGAATGGTTGGGCGCTGCCTCTTGATTTATACTTCGGAAACTCGTTGGTCTGCCCTTTGCCATCAGCCCATGGTGCTCACAGTCCCCCGTGGTACTTGCTGGACCGGACTGGGACTGAYTGGACCTTACCGCTGACTGRCTGTGGACTCRCTGCTATCCTACYGAGGTTGGAYTGCGATTGCACTGCAGTTTAGTCMACCCACTTKACTCGCCACTTGACCACTTGYCCACTTGCCGACCTTCTAGAAGGACTATAGCTAGACTTYTGGAACTYGCTAAGACTTCTACTCTATAGATCTACARATCGAACCCMTGCTACCTATGGACCTATGACAGACCTACCAAYTGTCTACGAATACACAGGTCACAGGTTCAACTCTCGAGGACTACACAGATACTGTACAGGGGTAGGGTGAGGTCTAGGGATCGAGCCCTGGGATCTGCATCTGTTACTGCAAAAAGGTGAAAACTGTTTCACTCCCGCCGTCCTAAATTCGAGGTGCTCCGAGAATATTTCAGTCCAAGGCAGGACCTTTACCCTTCTTATCACGTTCATAGGCTCTGACTATGTCGGGAGCTGTTTCTAGAAGTTCTGCCCTAGTAAACCAGCGGTCGTCTTTCGGTTCCTGATACGCAAACTGGACCTTATACTGTTTCTGGGGACAACCTCTACCTCCTGGTCTAAACACATCTTCACCTACAATGTCGTCAATGTCATAGCTCCCGTCCATATCCAGAGGGATCATGGATCTTCTTGAAGGGAATTGTTGACTTGTGACACATGGCATGGAAAACAGGGTAGGTGTGGAGGTGCGCTGGAATTTCTATTGTGTAGGACGGTCCATCTTCTCCACCCTTGACTTCTAGAACCGGCCACGGTCCTCGATATGCACGCAGTAGCTTCTGCGAGATGTTTTCCTTAGGTGCAAACTTTTTAGCCTTGACCCAGACTAAGTCGCCTACCTGAAACTGCGACGAGCGGCGGTACTTATTAGCCTGTTCTATCATTCTATGTTGGGCCTTCCTGAGGTTCTCTACAACTGTTGCTAACTCTTTCTCGTGCTGTATCGCAAAATCCCTGGTACCGGGCGGTAGTCTTGATTCTGATCCCAGTTAAGTCCTTCGAATGGTCTGCGCGGTCTAAAGGATTTGTGTAGCTCATTGGGAGTGCGACAGGTGGAGAAATGCACGCTGTTGTTGTATGCGCTAGCTACTTTGGGCAACATCTCGTCCCAGTTGATCTGATCGGGTCTAATGTACATGCGCAGAACTTGCTGTAGGATTTTAATCATCTGTTATGTCTGACCGTTTGTCTCTGTATGGCGGCCAGGCGACATCAATAGCTTAGATCCGTAGACTCTTATGAGTTCTTGCCAGTTCTGGCCGGTGAAATGACTGTCTCTATCGCTAACTATTGACAATGGGATTCCATTCTCACTAACCCAAAAGTCAAAGAACTTTTGTATCACTAAATCTGTGGTGCCTCTGCAGGCAAAGGAACAAAAACTGCATACTTACTAAATCGGTCAACTATGACCATGACTTGGCTTTTGCCATGTCTGCTTTTGACTTGGGTGTCCATGAAGTCTATGGACACTGAGTCTCCAGGCTGGTCCGGAATAGGCAAGGGTCTGAGAAGACCTAGAGGGGCACGCGTAGTAGTCTTATTCCTCTGGCAAACTTTGCAACTGCGGACATACTCTATGCAGTCATTCTTCATTCTTGGCGAGGTGTTCGCACGCATCAGGTTGGCTAAAGTCTTTTGCCAACCGAAATGTCCCTCAGTATCGTGGCATTCCCCTAAGATCAAACTACGAATCTCTTCGTTGTCGGGAACGCACAGGCGGTCAAATACATTAGTCTTCTCAAACAGTAATCCCTCTGTAGTGCGGTAATCTGGCTCAGTCTCTGGGGCCTTTCTAACTCTCTTTAGGAGATCGCTATAGATAGGGTCCTAAGCATACGCTTGCTTTACTTTCTCCTGCAGGTCTCTCCCTGTATCGAGATAATGTACTATGGCTCCAAAATAGTCTGATCTCCTACTCAGAGCATCCGCAACTACGTTGTACTTGCCCTTTGCTGGCTTAAGCTCAAAGTCATATTGGTCTATCTCTGCGGCCCACCTAGTCAACTTAGGTGTCATCTTGGCCTGAGTCTTTAACCATCTAAGTGTTTCATGGTCAGAATACATTTTGAAGTGCCCCCCAAGCAGGTAATGCTTCCAGTGCTCTAAAGCCTGCCTGAGAGCGTAGAGTTCTCTCTCGTACGTGGAGGTAGCGACCTTCTCAGAGGGCATCCTCGCTGACATGAACTCTATGGGTCTGTAGCCATTGCCGTCATCTTGCTGCAACACGGCGCCTATTCCATACTGACTTGCGTCCGTGGTGACGACAAATGGCAAGGACGGATCTGCTACTTTGAGGACAGGGTACTCTATTAGTGCGCGCTTCAATCTCTTTCGCGCAGTCGTACAATCTTTATCCCATTGCGAGATTGCCTCTTTCTTCAGCAACCTGCGCAAGGGAGCAACGAGAGTAGAAAAGTTCCTCACGAACTTTCTATAGTAGTTAGCTAGGCCTACGAACGACCGCAATTCTGTCAATCTGCGGGGCGTCGGCCAATCTCTGATTGACGCTATCTTACTGTCCTCTGGCTTAATGCCATCTCCATCTAATACGTGGCCCAAGTACAAGACTTGTGTCTTGGCTCACTCACACTTTTTTGGATTGATCTTGAAGTTAGCCTCTTTCAGCTTTTCCAAGACCTGCCTCAGATGACCTTGATGCTCCTGGAGGGTCTTACTAAAAACTACGATATCATCTAAGTAGACTACCACAAACTTGTCTAACCACGGTCTGAACAAATCATTCATACGACGCTGAAAGGTGGCTGGCACGTTAGTTAGTCCAAAGGGCATCACTATAAACTCATAATGCCCATAACGAGTCCGGAACGCAGTCTTGTACTGGTCATCAGGGTGGACCTCTATCTGATGATAACCGGACTTCAAGTCTATCTTGTAGAAATACTTACAACCCTGCACTCGATCTAATAGATCGTCTATCCTGGGCAGCGGTTCAGCATTCTTTACAGTAATCGCATCCAAATCCCTATAGTCTATGCACATATGAAGCTCTCCTTCCTTCTTGAGGATAAACAAAACAAGTGCTCCAAAACGAGACGAACTGGGCCTGATCCAACCTTTTTCGAGGAGCTCGTCTAACTGCTTGTGCAACTCCTCTAACTCTCTAGGGGACATCCTATAAACTGCACCCTTAGGAGTTCTACTGCCAAGCTCTATCTCTATCCTGTGTTGGATGGGTCGCGACACTACTCCTGTCGGTGACTCAGTCAAATCTTTGAACTCTTCCAGTAGCTTGGCAATCGTTGGATCTGTGGAACTATCCTTTTCCTCGGCCTCAGTGACAGGTCTAACATAAACTACAAAGACCTGGTCCTCTAACTGCTCCTTCACTAGTCGCGCAAACGCGGGAGCACTGAGACAGCAATGTGCCAAGGTGTTGTCTACACGTGACACATGAAACAGGCGGGAGTCTTAAGCTCGCCTGACGGGCTAGGGAGCCTACAGTCATGCTCTCTCAAATGGAGTGTGGCCCCTGCTGCCTCTCCCCAATCCATTCCCAATACTACGTTGAAAGGAAGGTCGTCCTGTACGAGGAGAGTTAGGGAATGGAGAACTTTCTCCACCTTCCCATCTTTCTCTAGGCGAAAGTACGCCTGGACTCCCTCTACATAGTTAACTTTTTCAGCGCTTTGCGGCTAATATAACTGCGGGTGGCCCCTGAGTCTATAAGGGCCCCTACTCTACTCCTGAAAACTTCTACATCTACCAAAATCAGTTGTCCTTTACTCTCTTTCTTCATCTTGGCCCAGGCTGGCATCCTCTCCTTTAATTCTTTGCCACACATGTGAGGGGCGTGCCTAAAGAGACGCTAACACAAGCAGTCTCTGGACAGCTAGCTAGGCACGGGCCTGCAACCTTTGCCATAGGCTCATGTAGGTTGGGAGTGTCTTGTTCGCGCACGCTCACTTCTCCACATGGCCTTAAAGTAGGGGCAATTGCGACCCCTACTGTCGGCTGCCTTTTGACTGCGGGGCAGCCCAACGGGCCTGTTTATACTCTGGACAAAATTTAATTACGTGGGCCGGGTCACCACAAAATACGCACTGACCCAGGTTCACGCGTTCTGGCCATACGCGTTGGTCCAAGCCCAAATCTTCCCAGGGCCTGCCCTGTGGCAAGCCAGGGTGCCATCCTCCTTGAGGCGCCCTTCCACCTCTTCGCTGCGGGGACCGATTAGAACCCTGGCGATTTGGCGGGGCACCCTGACCCCTACCTCCCACTTGGTGGTTTCCTTGTCCGCCAACCCCCTGTGCGCCCGGTCCTCGGCCTCCCATGGCCTGGCTCCTTTGGCCCTGGCCTCCTCCTCTACCTTGCGGCTTCCCTCCAGCCGCGACAGCAGCATAAGACCTCCCCTGTCCCACACTACTGTCCTCCTCCTCTAGGCCCCACTCATCAGTACCACCTTCCTCTAACGTAAGGATCATGTGATCCTTGGCCCTCACCTGGCCTGAGATGGTACGGCCTTTCCACCTTTTCCCCTTATCTAAGTCCTTGTGCCAGAAGGTAGTAACTGGCATACAGGACGACTTATCTACTCAATGCATCATAAGTGATGCTGGTCTGTTGAGATTTGTCAAAGAAATGCCCACACAGGGCCTCTGGCATGGCACGATAAAATAATTGGACCAACTGGGGCTCAGTGACCCCATGGTCTGGGACGGCTACCAAGTCGTCCATTGTACCCTTGAGTGCCCTTGCACTCCTCCACTGTCGTGAGTGGATCGTTTGTAACTTATCAGAGGCCCTGACGCCTCTCGTTGGATCTGCAAATCGCTCCTTCAGGAGCTTAAAAATTCGAGGAAGGGGGGTGACTCTTGAATATGCAACCAAGTTGTTTTCACAACCGGCTGCGCGCGCAAGGGACCTGGCAAAACTAGCCGCCTCATCCTGAAGGGCCTGGAAGGCCACGAGGACTTGTTCCTCTGACAGGATGTGTTGTAGATATATATAACTATTGACACTGGCCTCCCAGTTGTCAAAGTTCTCCTCCTTCTTTCTCCCGTATGCGTCTGGAAACTAGAGCTTTACAGGCTCTTTACGGGGTCTGCCCTCGCCCTCTACCGCAGCTATTGCTTTGGCACCTTCAATGGCGCCCTCACAGAACTTCCCTACGTTGTCCCTCAATTGCCTGACTTCGCCCCCAATGTGGGTGACGATCTCGCCGCAAAGTCTATGAATCCCGACCGCATGGCACTCAGGGCTACCTCTTGGCTCCAACCCGCTTGGCGCTCCTCCATCCATGCGGTGCTCAGTACCTCTAGGTAGCCCAACACCTTATCCCACTTGACCTTGTCATCTGGCTGGGCCAACACTTCCTTCCTACACTCCTGCACCTTTGCCACCTCTGCGGTCAGTTTGTTCACTTCCTCTCTCCTCCTCTTCTTCTCCCTCTTCGTCCTTAACTTTCACGCCAACTTCTGCTCCTCCTCCCTTTCTCGCCGTTCCATAGGATCCTTCATTGCTGCTAGCTCACTGGCTAGCGCATCCCTCTCATCCTGAGTCACATAAGACTCCGCCTCCTCGTCTTCTCCCAACGATAAATTAGCGACCCACTCACTTATCTTCTTCTCCATCTCAGCGTCTGTATCCTTTTTCGTGCCGCTACTTCCCTCTCTACTCTCAATTCGCATCCTCTCTTTCTCTTCTTCTGCTGCTGCTGCTTCTTCGACAGCCTTTCTCCTCTCTTCCTCCACGTGTTGAACTCTCTTCATCTCCTCCTCTAACTTCTTCATCTTTGCCGCCTGCTCTTCTGCGATCGCCTTTAACTTCTCCTGCTTCAAGAGCTCCTTCCTCTCCTTGTTCTCTTTCACTAAGGCGGCCATCTTTTCTTGCTGCTCCTTGGTGTAGGGGCTAATGTCTATCCCACTACGGGTCTCAACCATGGTGATAGGTGCACGATCAGAACGATTCCACTCCTCACCACTTAGACTCTGACCCCTGACTGACAAACCTATTGAATCAATCTAAGGACTTACAGAATCCTGACAGGGATCCTGTCAACTACGGTCTCTAGCCTTGACCTAACTATGGCTGTCACTACTAGACCTTTGCTGATGAGGAGGCATTTAAGGAGATCCCCCGAACTGCTAAGGAATTATTAAATGTCGCAGACAGGATGACGCGATCAGCAGGTCTCTCAAGACTTAGACGGTCTGTTGTGCAACCCACAACTCGGATTTCGAGGCCTACCGTGCCACACCGAGCAGCCCGCCGGTCAGTACCAGTCCTTGGGAGGGTTTCACCTCCGGGACAGTCGAGTCGTCAGACACAACTTTTAGCCCTACTCATCCCGTGTGGGTTTGGTCAACAAGACCCTATCCTTCATCCACAGAGTACTATCACCTAGGACAGAAGAGACTCAATGCAGAAAGAATAGACAAACAGACTGGACTCAGCAAGTACCAAGGGGTGTGTGCACATCCATAGGGTGAGGGATAGGCTGAGGGCTTGGCGAGATGTTACCGACTCCAGCTTGGTCAACTCCTGGTCAACGGTCTTGGTCAACGTCGGTCAACGCTGCTATCAGCCCCCGATCAACCCCCAATCAACTCCAGTAACCGCCGGTCAACCCTCTCGGTCAACCCTCCAGTCAGCTATGGCTGCCGGCTCCTCTTCCTTGCCAACCCTCTTCTTCCTTTCACCTTCATCACCTCCTTTC